CGCGCAGCGCGAGTGGCTTTAGACCTAATAAAACACGACCTGCGAGTTTATTGAACGGCTTCAAACACAACTACAAATTCAATAGATATACTGCCTTGTTAGTATTCTTTATATAAAGAATACTAATGAAAACACGACTACAATAGATACTGTCTTATTAGTATTCTTTATATAAAGAATACTAATTAGCAGTGTTTTATCAGGTTTAAAGCCACTGCACGTGACATATTATTATTGACATGATTTGCCAATAAGCTTATGAATTATTAATGAGTGTTTGACGCGTATATTACGATCACGTTTTTTATTTATTTGCTTGTATAACGTTCATTTTTGACCCTAAAAGAAAGACTTTAATTTCTGGAAGTGTTGTTAGTGAAAATCTACCGACGAGAATGTGTGAAACCAGAGCGACAGATATTATTAAGACGAAATGAGGATTTACTAACTATAGTAGCAGCTCACCAGAAGAAACCCATAAAGTTGTAAAACACCAAGCTTGGAAAGTGTTATTGAGCAGGTGCAAGATATAGTATTCCTTCTTGGAAATTAGATCATTCTCCTGAGAATGATGTTAAACTGGAACTCTATGATGATCTACATAGCCTGCCTATTAAATATACTGTACTGTGCCAAATCATTTCTCTCTGGAGTCCACCATCGCCATATATATAATTGGCCGATCAAAAAGGATCATTCTATTTATAAGAAACTGAAACGTTCAGTGATGTATCATTCCATGTGTCAACAGGTAAATATTATCGGAGAGTCCTCATTGTGTCAGGGTTTACTAGATGATATTGATTTGTTGACAGTTATTGTCGATCCTATTTAAAACGTAACAACGTCTGGTACTATGTTACGCCACTCTGTTCCCAAATCCCTAACATCTGAGCAGACTCACATCAAGACTTCAGTTATTCTACGGTCAGTGGACTGTGAATTAATTTGTACTACTTTAGAGGAACAGCAGTGCAAGCCACGTGGGACTGCAAACATGGCTATCAAGAAAGCAAGCAGAAGGAAATCAAGAGCATCGGAAGCCCCGGCAAAAGACAAGGCACCACTTGCAGCATGTGGGCCTGCAAAACTGCAAAACTTCGAGCGACTATAAGAAGTGACCAGCTGCATTGTAAGCAGTCAGAAGAAATACTTCAAATGCTTCAAGAGAAAATTGAAGCTGATGATGATGAAAATTGAAGCTGATGAGTGGCCAAAACCTGTATGCTACTCCACATATGACGTTTTTCTGGGAGCAACAAGTTAAACTTGTTGTTCGTAAACGTGTAAACTGTAAAAATTAGTATAAAAACTCTAAAAAAATTTTTAAAAAATCAGTTATACTCAGTTAAGACAAAAAGACGGTTCTAGCCAGATAAAGTGTTAAGTTAGATTAATAAACATGTAAATGTTATGCATGTTAGTAGAAATAGTTTTGGTGGGACTTAATTGGATCTTATTTAAGATCTGTTGTCCTTTTCCTTCAATCATTTGTTAATATATGTTATTGATTGTAAAGTCAATAAAAAAAATTTAAAAAAACTTCTAAAATCAAACAAGCTGGAAAGAATATATCATCCACAAATCATTCCATTTGACCTACATGATGCCAGGTCTGCCTCTGCTTATAGAGAGGTGAGAGAAAGTGGTCCCTTAATTTTGCCCAGTGAACGTGTCCTCAGGAACTATAAGAATTACTTCAAGCCGAAAGCCGGGATCAATAAGGAGAATATTGAGAATTTTCTGAAATTCAATGATATGTTGCCATCATCATTGATGAGGTGAATTGAAAAACCAATCCAACCTTGCTTTTGACAATTCTGGTTATTTGGTTGGTTTCATTAAAATTAAGAAATTAATATCACAATTGTTGTAAAGATAAAATAGTCTAGGCTAAATGTATATTTATTAGGTAAGCGTAATACTTGATGTAAAGCGCATTTGATCATATCCACATGTAAATTTCGCTGTAGAAATGCTAATCGTAATCGTAATCGTTGACTTTGGAGACATAGGCGTACAGGAAGGAAAAAATTGGGGGGGGGCGGGAAGAAATTTGCCCGACTTTTTCGGATTGTGCCCGACTGGTTCCAAAACATTTTTTTCCGGAACAATTTATTTTGGCGACCTCCCCCCCCGTCGCCAAAAAAATTTCGTTCAGTGTACCATTTTAGGGGTCCAAAAATTTTTCGGACATACCAAAATTTTTTGGAACATCAAACAAATTTTCCCAAACATCGAAAAATTGACATAATTTCCCACAAAATTGACATAATTTGTCCCATTTATTTTTATAATAACCACATATTGCCCGACTGTGAAGCGAATATTGCCGAACTGGCTTTGTTTGCCCAACAAACTGCGGTTATTATTAAGAGAGATTTTCTTGCTTTGACTACTTTTTGCCCGACTTTTGTTGAATATTTGCCCGACTTTTCGACTTTGTAATCTTTTTTTTGGGGGGGGGCAGCTGCTCCCCTGCCCCCCGTCCCGTACGCCTATGTTTGGAGACCCAAGGACCAACTATGTCAATCTCAAAGAGGATGACACTGTTGCCACACATGCTTGAGCACTGTGTACAGATTTGAAACATATAGTTGGATACCATTTCAGAGGTAAACAAAAACACACAGGAAAGTTGTTTCCTATTATTTCATGTTACACCTATATTTTTAAAAGGAACTGGATTTTTTTAAAAGGTAAGTGTAACATGTTGTATTTTGTAAGGATATACAATAAAATATAGAAATTTTAGCATAACATGTACTGTAACATGTGAAGTAACATGGTGTAACATGTAGTGATTTTACTCAGACTGTACATTTATTAAATAATAAAAAGATCTTCGTTAAACAAGCACCAATTTTGAGGCAATCACGTGAACATGCGCTATAAAAGCATATTGAAATCATATCAAAACATACTTTATAGGTACAATGCTGCACTATAAAATTTTAATGATTGACAAAATACGCGAAAAAATGTAACGGTTATGAAATATTGTACCATGTAAAAATCTATATATGCCATATCTGTCTCTCTGATATTGTTATTAAATGCCATAATTTTTTGTCAATGCAGCCTTACCGGATAAATTGACCACAATTTTCCTTAAAGCAAGTCACCTATATTAAGCCCCCCCCCCATTTACCGACCCCCCTGGCCTTCAAAAAGTTTAATCAAACCCTGAATTATGTTCCTAATATAATGTCCTCTTTAATTCGAAAATTATGTTTTGAAAATGAATGTACAATTAACTCGGTAAAACGGAAACTTTCTTGGAAAAAATATCTGTAGACTTTTCGAAAAATACACCCAAATTTGAAAACATATGATGAAAATGTGAGCATTTTTCTATTAAAGCAACTATTAAATCCCCCCTCCCCCCAGAAACTATGTTGGTTCAGATAAAGTGGATTTGCAACACATGTCACCTAAATAGCAACATTGTACAAGGGGGGAGGGGGATAAAGTTTGAAAATCTAAGAAGTCTACTAATTTTTTCCAGGATTGTAGTTGCAGCCATATTTGTTTTATCCTTTGACATTTCCTCGTGAACTGATTAGTTTTCTTTATCTAGACTTGCTTCCTCACCAACAGCGGTTGATAAGTCCATCGGCAAGTGAGTTGCCTTGTCGACGTTGCTTGCATTTGCCAAGTTTTCGAATTTCTGCTTTAAGAACTGATCGTCATTATCAGCTTGAATAGCAAGTTTCTGCAACCGTAGACCGTACCATTGGCAGTACAAAATAGCTTCACATTACCGCCATGCAGGCGAACTCCATATCCCTTGCAGGTTCAAATTGTTTTCAACAGAGCACTTTAGTTCAGGCAATGAACCGTTCCAACGATAAACTTCATCATCAGTATCGTAGGTAAACTTGTTTATCTTACTCATTATTAGACTCAGTTATTTAGCCCTTGAAATGATTGAGCGGAGCTCTAAGAAACATGTCCGTTCATCATCAACGTAAATGTTGATGCTGAACGGGCGTGTTTCTTGGCTTTGGCCCAGTTATGATCACGTTCCTTATTTTTAATTGCGAAGTCAGAAGCTACTAGCCAGTGAGTGAAGTTTTTCAATCTATTCGTTCAGACTGTATATAGTAGCAGAGTTTTTTTAGTTGACAATTCAATTCAATTCGATTTGGTGGAATTTTACAGATACATCTAAATAGTTGTTAATTTTGGCAATAAATTTGCCGCAAGTTTCATTACTATTCGGTCCATTCGAATTATATGCGTTCTTAATTGCAATCAATAAATGTAAGTTGTAACTTTGTAACTGTAACTAGTTACACTTTGGCATCTGTAACTTGTGTCGGTAACTATAGTTATGATTTTGGCGATGACCGTGATATAACCATAACTGTAACTAGTTACAGTGGCGTAGCCAGCTCGATAAGGGGGGGAGTGGGGACATATTCATATATTCGTATTCACAGACCGTAAAAACAATCAATTTCAAAAGAAATTAATAATGCAGAACACGAATATATGAATATGTCTCCCCCCCCCCCACTTATCGAGCTGGCTACGCCACTGACTAGTTACAAATAAACTGTAACTGTTACAGCATTGTGCATATACTTTGTAAACTTATCTGAGAATTTTGTATATCGTCAAAAACGTACATCGTTTGACCACAGGAGCATATCCCATGTCTTATTGAAAGCAAATATTGAATGTACATATATATAGTATTTATATAGCTCAGTGCTGAATCTAAGTGCGCGCGGCCTGCCTGTTGCGGGCTGACGAGAGCGTGAGCGCTAAAAGGGAAAAAATAAAGGGATGAAACATTGGCGAAAGCTGTCCGAATGTGTTCCACAGGTTGCTATGACAAATAAAAAATAAGAGTTTTATGTTGCCATTGTTGTGTTTTATCTTTTATTGTCTAACTATAATATTTAATACAAACTACTTCGCTCACAATCTCCAGAACTGATCTCTTGTCCGAGCACATTTCGTGCTCATGTCTCCTATGTCCTAGTGACGTATCATGTCCGTGACGTCATAGAGACGTAGTCACTACAATGTTGTTCCTCTTGCTGTATCTCCCCGGCATTTTCTACTTCACTTCCTCTCGTTCTAGCTACCGGCATTTCGTCGTCTTCTTCTTCTGCCATCCGCTTTTCCTTATTAAGTTTCCTAAAAAATGAAGAATTTCGGGTGATCCGATGGTCTTTATTTTCTGCTACAACCTTGGAACCCTTGATGGCCGTCACCGTATATGGTTGGGGAGAAAAGTTAGTTGATAACTTATTGCGCTTTTGCTGCTTCACCAAGACCGGGTCACCAACTTTAATGTTGCTTGGTCGAGCATGGCGTCTCTTATCTGCATATTGCTTTGCCTTATCTCTCTGTTGTCCTTGGTTTGCCTGTGCTTCGCTGTGTCTGTTGACTATTAGAGTTGGTGTAATTGTTGGCAATTTCCCTTGAATGTTGCGATTGAACAAAAGTTGTGCTGGGGGAACTTTGGTTGTAGAGTGTGGGGTTTGCCTATATGTAAGTAAGAACTTTGAGAGTTCCTGCTGCCATGGTCGGTTTTGCAAGTGTGCAGACCTGATACATTTGCCAAGAGGCTTCATGAATGCTTCAGCCTCTGCATTTCCTTGCGGCCATAACGGTGTGGAGGTGCAATGTTTTATACCCATGGCAGTCATGTATTGGTTAAATTCATGCCCCTGGAATGGCGGTCCATTATCAGAAGTGAGCTGAGCAGGGATACCGTGCCTCGCAAATATCGAATCCAATTTAGGAATAACCTTCTTAGCTGAAATGGACTTCAGAGTTTCCACTTCAGGAAATCGTGAATAACAGTCAATTACTACCAGCAGGTAGTGTCCCGATGGGAGAGGTCCATAAAAGTCAACTTTAACTTTCTCCCATGGACGATCGGGCATGGGTGGTGACTGTATGGGTTCTGGTGGGTTAATGTGTAAGTTTGCCTGGCATGCCAAACAGCTGTCTACTGTTTCTTTCACTGCCTTGTCCATCCCGGGAAACCATACTGATTCTCGCAGCAGCGCTTTCGTTTTGGCTTGGCCCTGGTGCCCCTCATGCGCAATGTTAATGACTTGTTGTCGAAGAGATGAGGGAACTAGTATTCGTATGCCCCGTAGTAGTACATTGTTATGAAAGTCAACTGTGATTTCAGCTTTAATATACTTATATGGTTCTAGCTGACTATTGTTCACCCAGTGCCCTGTTTCAACTGCCTCTCTTAAGGTACAGAGATCTTTATCCTCACGTGTAGCCTTACTGATGTCGCTAAGAGTGAGTGCACTGGGAACTGCTGCAACAGTTACAAAGTTAACATATTCATCAGCTATGTTGCTTTCCTTTGCTTTGCCTGGCAAAGGGTGACGTGACAAAAAATCTGCAGGGTTGTCTTTCCCCGCTTTGTACACCACGTTAAAATCATATTGCTGCAACCGCAGGATCCATCTTTCGATCCTAGCTGGGGGTTTTGACAAGGGGTTTGCATAAATGAGTTCAAGCGGTTTGTGATCTGTGTATAGTGTAAATGGGGCCCTATACAGGTACAGATGGAAGTGCTCTATACCCCAAACAATCGCAAGGGCTTCCTTCTCGGTCTGAGAATAGCGTTTCTCAGTTGAGGTAAGTGCTCGACTACCATGGATATTGTTTGTGTTTTTGTTGAACCTTTGGCTCTTTGTGCTAGAATTGCACATAGTCCCACTGGACTGGCATCAACTATTATGACTGTTTCTTTGCCCGGATCAAAATAGCTCATCACAGGTTTACTTATCAAGGCAGTTTTTAGGGTTTGGTATGCATTCTCTTGTTCGTCCCGCCATGTAAATGGGATGTTTTTGTGGGTAAGCATACGAAGTGGTTCTGTGATGGTGGCAAAATTAGGTATAAATTGAGCACTAAAGTTTGCCAGTCCAAGTAAGCTACGGACTTCGCTTGGGGTTGTTGGAGTGGTACTGTTCGCAAGGGCTGATATTTGCTTTGGGTCTGGGCTAACACCGTCCTTAGAAAACACCAGACCAAAAAAATCAAGGTTCTGTTTCAAAAACAAGCACTTACCCAAATTCAAGGTTAGCCCATTGTCCTCCAATCGTTGTAAGCATTCTTCCAAAGATGTGTTATGCTCTTCATAAGTGCTTCCAAATATAAGAATGTCGTCTGCGATATTCCGTACCCCCTTGATGCCTTGTAAGACTTGCTGTAACGTATGTTGAAATATCTCTGCCGCCGAATTAGTTCCATAATTAAGTCGTTTGAATCTATATATACCCGTATGTGTGACAAATGTTGTGATGTGTCTACTACTTGGAGATAATTCTAGCTGATGGTATGCTTGCGTCAAGTCCAGTTTTGTGAAAAACTTAGCACCGTTTAGTTCTAACGAAACATCCTTCACAGTTGGAATTGGGTGTCGAGCACGTTTGATTGCATTGTTCGCTGCTCGCATATCAACACATAACCGTATCTTATCGTCTTTCTTAGGAACAATGACCAGAGGAGAAATCCATTCGGTTTCTTCGGTGTCAGGTACCGGTTCAATGATATCATCATGTTCTAATTTGGACAGTTCACGTTCTACTTTTTCGCGCAAGTGAAAGGGTATTCGACGTTGCTTTTGAGCCACTGGCTTCACGGCTTCGTCGATAATCAACTCTATTTGTTTGTTACGCAATTTGCCCTGTCCTTGAAAAACCCTGGAATGCTTGTTTACAATACGTTGTACGCCTTTGTCTGGAATATTCCCTTGTTGGGCTGCTTGGCTGTTGGGTTTTGTAGTTTTGATGTGGTTCAAATGTAATGTGATAAGCCCCAAGTCTTCGGCCGTATTTTGCACTAAGGATACACCCCCCGTCGGCTTCTGTCACATAAATGGTTGCCACAGTGATCTTCTTCCGCGATTCGACAGTGGTTTGAAACTTGCCTTTCATTTTGACTGGAACCGTTCCATTGAAGGGATAGGCCTTGATACGGGTCTTGCGAAGTGTGATTGGTCCCAGTTGCTTGAAGGTAGACTGGTCGATGACATTAATAGTGGAGCCTGTGTCTACGGTGAATTTCACCTGATGTTTGTTTATTGTGACCTTAGTAGTGGGGTTATTTTTAGCTGTTGTCTTGACCGCATAACAATAGCTGGACTCATCACTTGAACTGGATTCACTTTGATTATCCGGAGGGCTAACAACCGGTCGGATCTTGTTACCCCGGCGATTACTCTCTGGATAATGATTCGGTACTTCGTTGTCGGGTTTCGACGAACGACATTGTCTGGCGAAGTGATTTAGCTTGCCACACTTTCTGCATTCTTTGCCCTGAGCAGGACAATTGCCCTTCTCGTGTGGCCATTCGCCGCCACAATTTCGACAAGTGCCTTTGGAAGGCTGTTGACGCGTGTTTTTCCGTAGAGCGTGTAGTTCCTGCCGTTCGAATTGTTTTTGTTCAATGTCGGCCACTTAAAAGAATAGAGCTGCTAGAGTGATTACGAAATCCAACTACGATGTCAGCTCTAGCATTCTCTTAGAGAAACTGCATTGGGACAATCTTTCCTTACGTAGGAAAAAGCACAAGTCTATATTAATGTTTAAAACTATCAATAAGCTAACGCCAGAGTGTTTACAAAACATGTTTACATTTCGCAGCACAGATTATAACTTAAGAAATGCAGAAATGAAGCTAAATTTACCAAAACCACGTACGGACTTTATGAAGCGTAGTTTCTGCTACAGTGGAGCAAGTTTATGGAATGCGCTTCCTCAAACTGCACGTACGTCCAAATCATTGAGGCATTTCAAAAATGAAATTAATCAATTCTTGACATTGTAATGGGATCCCCACACGGCAATCTTGGAAAACAGTGCATTTTAGTTAGGAAATTAGTGTGTATATAGTGATGTGTGAAATTTATTAATAGTTTTTGTATTTTATTCTACACTGAAGATTTTACCGTGTTTAAATAAATGTTCAATGTTCAATGTTCAATGTTCATTTCTATCTGCCTACCGGCGATCAGTAAATCTTTGAGCGTTATTTTAGGGTCCCGTAACGCTTGCTTTCGAAGTCGGCTTGATGATTCTTTTAGGACAATTTGTAGTATAATGTCAAAGTCCATATTCTCAAACTGGCATCGTTCTGCTAAGCTTCGCAACCGAGTGTGGTATTGATCAATGGATTCATTGTTCTCTTGAGCGGCTTGACGAAATTTGTATACCTCATAAAGGCGATGCTTTTGGGGTTCAAAGTATTCGTTCAACTTTGCCACTGCTGTTTCCAAATCATCCCCAGTGTCCGGGAGTTGGCGAAATATTTCACGAACCCGTGCGCCAGCTTGATACAAAAGCAATGCACGTTGTCGTTTCTTGTCAGTTATGCCCGTTGCGACTAGATACACCTGAAAATCTTCTATCCATATCTTCCATTTTGGAGCGAGATTTGTTCCAATTTCGCTGTCCGGATCAAAATGTGGCATGGGTTGTACCATAGACCCACTTGAAGTGGCCATCCTCGTCGCCAATGTTGAGTTTTATCTTTTATTGTCTAACTATAATATTTAATACAAACTACTTCGCTCACAATCTCCAAAACTGATCCCTTGTCCGAGCACATTTCGTGCTCATGTCTCCTATGTCCTAGTGACGTATCATGTCCGTGACGTCATAGAGACGTAGTCACTACACAGGGTAATACAGGATGTACACAGGCTAACGTCAACCTTGATGTTTTCCATTTTACAGATATACAAAAATATATGTCAACTGACAACATGTAAATTATTTGATGACTGTTTTAATTTCCGGGTTAAGATTCTTTCAATTGTCCACAAATTCACTAATTCTCATGATTCTTCACTCCATGCAATCCGCCATCTTGGATGACAAATCCTCCCCACGTGCATACCCTAGAGACGAAATCGCTGCGCAAGCAAGATGCGCAGAACGGCTCAACCATGTCGGGTTTTGGCAGGCATCTCACCGAATTTCTGAAGTACGTGAACTACGAGATGCCTGCGGAGGAGGCTAAGATTACATTACAATTTGTTGCTATAACTTACTAAAATGATAATTTTTGCATGAAAGGTCGGTTTATTTAGCTCAAAACGCACAAAACGACTTCAAAATCAAATTTGAAAGTGAGCCTTCCTAAATGTCGTCAAGCATTGGCTGCATTGCCGAGCATGAAAGAGTTGACATACACTGAAGAATATGTTTTGGAAGCTTGAAGAATATAACAGGGATGTAAAGAAATTATTTATATAGATGGAACGCGCATAATCGTGTTAGTTCTTGGTAAGTGAGTCGAATATTTTCCATTTATAAATATCGTGTGATAGTTAGCCTACATTTGGCAATTAATATTCTGCGACTGCAAGTAAACAAATAAAACGAAAAATTGTGTATTTTAGATTCAATACTAATAGCTTAACTATTGAAAAAAAACACTATAAAATTTGGTATAGACAAGGGATAACTGGTTTGATTTGCCATTCACAAAATATGCAGGATTTTATTCTTTTTGCCTCAATAATGCTTTTGGTCTGATCATTTGAAAAGCTTTATTGCACAAACATGTGGTATAAGCTGATTTAAGAAGTAATTTTTGAGATCTTAACTTAATATTTTTATAAACTTTGGACATGTTCAGTGTAATGGGGCCATGCAAAGTTTCTGTTTATTATAGGAATAGGTTAATGCACCTTGCTAATGTCAAGACAATGCTTGAGCTGCGGAGATTACTGTGTCTTGTCTCTTGAGTAAGCTGTATAACAGATCATGCACTGGTTTGCCTCATGGAGGCAAGTATTACATTATTAAAGTCTAAGGTATAATTATATCTCTACTTTTAGGTGATTCACCAGATTACACTGTAGCTCATGGTTGCATGTATACCATTGTGTTCTGTTTATCAAACTATCTGCAGTTTTTAATGCGAAAGATGATGACTTCAAAGGATATGAATATTTGGAAAATGAGAAATAAGAAATATAATTTTAAAGCACAACTAACCACAAATATGATTTTTGGTATGTACAATATCTGTGTCATTTGTTCGAAGAAATGTTATCTCTATAATAAAAAATCCCTTCTTCATCGACCTTTTCACTATCAAATTTTCCGGATATGATGTCATTAGGTGAATTTTTACTATAAAGATACATTACATTTCTTATTAGAATTTTGACCGAAATATCACACAAACCAAAAATTCTATTTGGGGTTAGTCCAACTTTAATTAATGCATGCTTGATTTTTTTGTCATTAACTTGCATTTAATAAAGTTACGGCACACATAGTGCACAAATAATATCTTACTAGTCTATTTTTTTAAAAGGAGTCAAAGTCATAAAAAAAAGAAATTCATGCTACTGTGTAGTAGTGTACAGGAAAATGTTGATTTAAAAACTTGAACAGCTTAGGAAGACAGGTTATACAGAATTGAATAATAGTTGAAGGGACTTGTATAGATGGAAATTATTGAGTAGACATTTAGATGCATTTATTATACCTAACCAAGAAAAGTTGTGCACAATCAAAATGCAACTACTGATCACTGGCAGAAATCCAACCTGCTGCCCTGCAATTCCGGTGCAGCGCTAGCTGTAACCAATATATACAGGGTAGGTGAGCACTGCTCACAGTAAATGTTAAACAGCTGCAGGAAATTTGTTTGAATGAAGATTTGCTATTGATTAATTAACATTGGAAGGAAACCTTAACACCCATGTCCCACTGTGGGTGCAACAACATATGGTTGACAGACATTATTCCTTGAATTTAAAACCATGGTCAGCTAAAAAAACACTATGTTTATGCACATGCAGATTTAGCACAAAAATACTCTAATACTAATAAAGGAAATTTTTGTCTCCAGGTTGTGCTCTCAGGAAGAAAATTCTTTTTTCCTGCCCTGAATATATATATATATATATATATATATATATATATATATATATATATATATATATATATATATATATATATATATATATATATATATATATATATAGTACTGCCATGTTTAGAGTATTTTAAAATATCATGATTTTGTTGGCTTCTCACTCAATTCAATAATAGTTGAAGGGTCTTGTAGTCTTGTATAGAAGGATATTTATTTCACTCAGAGTAACATCACAAGCATCAAATGTATATAAATTTCCACTCAATAATTTTGATCTATAGACTACACAAAACCTTTCAAACAGGGTCAGCCCTGCAAACCAGGCACACATAAACTGGCCTGGATCCTTGCAGATGTCATCATGGCTCCAACCTCACAAGTTCAGGTTGTTTGGCAATGGTTGGAATGTTAATGGAGCTTTACCATTTAATAACAGAAAATCCACAAATTCAAGCGAAGTATTTCTATATTGATCTATTGCAGCAATAAGCTAATCAATCATGAAATGTATTGTGATTTTCAACGGTACAAAATAGAATTGAAAAAGCTCAATAATTCAAACTGCAAAATATAATTACTCAAAGACAACACAAAATATGGTATTAAATTGCAAATGGAATTGGAAAATACATTTACAGATAGAAAATATATTATTCACTTCAATACGAAGAATTATCACGATATACTGTACATGTAAGGTCCGTTACATGTGAAAATGAATTTTCTTATTTCCTTGTTATATTCTTCCAACTTTCCAACGTATTCTTTGGCCCATATTTCGTCAGTGTAGCTGTAAATGCCAATATTTTCATGCTCGATGAAGCCAGATGCCATCTACGAAGGAGCACTTTCAAATTTGATTTTGAAGTCGTTTTGTACGTTTCACCTTCAATTTTATATTCAGCGCAATCGTAGGAACTTTTTTCAGTACCAGAGAACGATTTTGAGCTTAATAAACCGACTTTTCTTGCAAAAATTCTCACTTTTGTAAGTTACAGCGTCAAAATATAATACAATTCTATAGTGTTTGTTTACACTCGCGTTCCTGAGTCCCAGGCCCCCAAGCACGACGGATTTTTTTGAAAATTGACATGTTTGAGGGTCAATATCTCGGAAAATACTGAACCAAATAAAAAAAGGTTGAAGAACTTACTGACTAACTTTGTGTGCTCTTTCCAAATCCGTAAATATCCCACGAGTGATATAGGCATTTAACGCTTGACGCGTTTTTAATTTGGACCAAGTCACCAAGCATATTGACAACTTGTGTTCAACAATAAATAGTAGACTTGCTTTATTACGCAGGATTAAACCCTTTTTAACTAAGGACTGTGCTCTTCGTTTCTATAACTCTTGTTTTAATTCAAGTCTTATCTACTACTCTGTAACTTGGGGAAACTGCTCAAGAACGCTTTTACTTCGCATTCTTCGACTGCAAAAGCGTGCAGCACGTATTATTCTAAACGCTGACTTTTCTACTCCTTCTGTTCTTCTTTTTTCCCAGATTCGAATAATCCCAATCTTTGATCTTGTTAAATTTAAGAACCTTCTCTTACTAATCAACATTCTCACAAGTCCCGGTGCTCAATCTTCCTTTAAGCAAATGTTTAAATTCTTCCATTCTTTTTAATTGCTTAGATAGCGATTGTCAGCAACTTGCTGCTTCGCCATCTTGCTCTTCAAACGCCAAACAAAAAATTCGTAAGATCTTTCTTAACAAGCTTAACCTTACTAACCATATCGAAGATTTATTTTGTATAAATTGTAAATATTTACTAGATTGTAATTGTATTCATTACTATTTTTTTTCTGGTATGTAAATAGTCTTAATCTTTATACCCTTTATGCCTGTAAATATCAAAACAGTGCGAGGGCCGTATGCTAGATAACCCCTAATGGTTAATACGTTTTCCCTCGTGAAATAAAGTTTCTATTCTATTAAGTCATCTGCATGCTTTTGACATTCGTGCTTCGTCTTCGGTCGGCTGTTTGAAGAGATATCTCAAAACATTTATTTTAAGGGATGCGTACATTAGTAGTGTTTTTCATGTAGACAATTTTTAACTTTCAATTAACTGTGAATAACGTGTAAATATAGTCTAAAGTAATTTTACGATTTTATATCTCACTGTTTGTACCTAGCGCTTTAGAATATTTATAGTGTAAGCGCTTTATAAATTTTATAATATGTTATATTATATTATAAATCAAGAGGATTGTGCTCTTGTAAGAGATTGGGCATCTCGAGTCAAATTAGTTTTTCTAACATTTAACTGGCTTACGGGCTACTGATATAAATGCCAATAAAGCGACGGGCTACCTGTCAAAATCACGGGCTACCTCATGCTAGTAGTCCCGCATCGATTTTCTTCTAAGTGTCGAGTGAAATTAGTTTTTCTAACATTTAACCGGCTACTGGCCACTAATATAAATGCCAACAAAAACGATCGCGACGGGCTGCCTGTCAAAATAACGGGCTACCTCATGCTCGTAGCCCAGCATCGAAGGATAGGTTTCATTGTGCTCCGTGTTGGTGGGTTCCTCCTCAACTTTTGATTTCGAGTTTGAAGAAACACTTGTGATGCAGGAGAAATAGAAATGCACTCC